AGCCTGCTTGGAGGAGGGGGGGGGGAGAGGGGGGAGGAGGGAGAGGAGAGGAGGGGGCGAGGAGGAGGAGGAGGAGGAGGAGGAGAGGAGGAGGAGGAGGAGAAGCAGGAGGAGGAGGAGAGAGGGGCGGAAGGGGAGGAGGAGGAGGAGGACAGGGGGGGGAGCTCTGGGGGGGGCGGGCCCGCGCCACGTGCCTGGCCGCCCCGGCTGGACGGGGCCCGGCGGCTCTTCTTGGAGGACGTGCGCTGTGCGCGCCGCTTCGCCGCGCCGGGCCCCGCCCCCCTCGGCCATCGGAGGAGCAGGAGCAGGAGCAGGAGGAGGAGGAGGAGGAGGAGGAGGAGGAGGAGGAGGAGGAGGAGGAGGAGGGAGCAGCGGGAGCATGAGCAGGAGCAGGAGGAGGAGGAGGAGGAGGAGGAGGAGGAGAGGAGGAGGAGGAGGGGAGGAGAAAGAGAGGAGGAGGCGGAGGAGGAGGAGGAGGGAGGAGGAGAAGGAGGAGGAGGAGGTGGAGGAGGAGGAGGAGGAGGAGAGCAGGGTGAGCAGGAGGAGAAGGAAGAGGAGGAGGAGGAGGAGGAGGAGGAGGGATGAGGAAGGAGGAGAGGAGGAGGAGGAGGAGCAGGAGGAGGAGGACGAGGGAGGAGGGAGGAGGAGGAGGAGGAGGAGGAGGAGGAGGAGGAGGAGTCGGAGGAGGAGGAGGAGGAGGAGGAGGAGGAGCAGGAAGAGGAGGACGAGGGAGGAGGGAGGAGGAGGAGGAGGAGGAGGAGGAGGAGGAGGAGGAGGAGGAGGAGGGGGAGGAGGACGAGGACGAGGAGTAGGCAGAGGCTAGAGGGAGAGGCCATTCCGAGACAGCTGACCTGACCTCCGCGGAGCTGGCGGCCCCCCCCCGACTCTCCTTGGCCGCACGGGGCATCGTCGGACGAGGGCGCCCCACCTCGAGCAGGGCCGAGGCTCAGAGCGCGCCTTCCTCCCCAGGCTTTAAGTCGGACCTGTCCCTCTACAGGAGGAATAATCAAAAATAGTAAAGAATAGTCTGAGAACGTTTGTTTGACTATGTTTGGCAATGTATGATTTTTGTTTTAATATTTTCTATTTTTCCTACAAAATCCTCCTGTATGGAGGGCCCCCTTCGGGCCGTGATAATAATCAAGGCGGGGCGTTGTTCGCCATGTTTGGCCTTTGGGGACTTTCACCGGGCCTCGGGACCGTCCAAAAGCGGCCCAGGATGAAGAGCCGGTCCTGGTGGAATGGGTCGGGACCTCTCTTGGGGTCGCGTCATGAAAAATGTATGACGTCCGGGGTCTGGGTCTGCAGGACCACCGAAAATGTGACGTCAAGGTGGTCAAACACCTCGCTGGTCGAGCAGACGAAAACGTGCATTGGCTTTGCGCCAGGTGTGTTGCATCAGTTTCAGCTTGACCGAACATGTTGGTTGCGCCCTCTGACGTCCGTTTGGGGTGTTCTGCAGACCTGACCCCCAGACAGAATGAAGCCCCACCCAGAGATCCGACGCTCCTTTGGGGAGGCCCTCGTCGCCACCGCCGGATTCGTCCCAAGATGCTGGTCAGAGCGCACCCCGTGAGAAGGTCTGCGGAGTATCGGACGGGGCTAGGACGAGGACAACTCCGTTCCAGAGCGTTCCGGGACGCTCCCAGGGCGTTCGTGAGCGCTCTGAGAAGCCCGCGGCGCCCGAGACATCCTCCAGAACCGCCGGGTCTCAGAGATGCTCGATCCCTATGTTACTTCAGTCTTGGCTTGGTCTTACAGTCGGGGCGCTCAAGAAGGAACCCTTTTCGTTGGGGAGGGGCTCGGTGTTCCTTGATTGTTCCAGAGGTTGCCTTGGGTTTCCCTCCGGTTTTCCATGGGAAATCGAGGTTGAACCTATGGGAAAAAGGGGCCTCGTTCCTTATTTAGGGTTCCTTAGGTCGACGCCTCGACTGTAGCGGATCAGGCAGCCATCGGCATCGCGTAAGGGCGACCCCTCGCCGGAGTGGCCTTTGGGTGCGCGCCCCTTCGGGGCGATGCGGGGCCAGGCCCAAGCGCGCGGGCTGCCACTGTCGCACCGCAGGCTGCGGCGGGCAGGCCGCGCACCAGAGGGGCACTCTCTGCCTCGGGATAAGTCGGGCGTGCACCTCTGCAGGAGGTCTGTCCAGAAATAGTTTTAAAAAAATTCCGGGGACGATTTTTTGACCATGTCTGACACTGTTTGAATATGTTTTGGCTATCTGTTATGTTTCGTCCAACATCCGCCTGTAGGGGGACATGCCCGACCTAAGCCTCGGGTCGTTCTCACGTGTGGCCGAAGTCAGGGGGGACTCTGGGCCTCCCAGATGGGTCGGAGGATGGCGCCACATCGCCGATGCAACGACGATGCGGCTCGATGTCGAGCCCGTTTCTCTCCACGCCGACACGCCGACGTCTCCGATGCATCGCTGGCGTCGCCGATGCATCGCCGATGCATCGTCGATGCACCCGCGCTGCGGTGCGATCCTCCGACCCCATCTGCTCGGACCCCACTCGGGAGGCCCCAGACAGGGACGGATCGGGCAGCCCGCGGCAGCGTCAGAGGGGGCAGGGCTCCGAGGGGGGGACGAAAGGCTGCGAGGTTCGAGGGCCTCGGGCGTTTCCTCGCAGGACCCCATTTGGGGAGGCCCCAGACAGGGACGGATCGGGCAGCCAGCAGCAAGGTCAGAGGGGGCAGGGCTCCGAGCCCAGACCCCCGACGTCATGATTTTTTCATGACGCGACCCCCAGAGGTCCGGACCCATTCCCCAGGACCGGTTTTTCATCCTGAGTTGTTTTTTGACGGTCCCGAGGCCCGGTGAGAGCCCCCAGAGGCCGAAAATAGCGAAGAACTTCCCGTCGAGATTTGTTCATGACCCGAGGGGCTCCGAGGGGGGACGAACGCCTGCGAGGGCGTCTCCTCGCAGGTCTTCGGCGCTCTTCCGGCCTCGGGGAGTGCTGCTTCTGGCGGCCGCGCCTCGCCGAGCGCTCCCCGGGGGTGCCCCGATCGTGCCGGACGACCGCCCGGAAGGCGTGTGCCACCGGAGGAGGAGGAGGGGGAGGAGGAGGGGGAGGAGGAGGAGGGGGAGGAGGAGGAGGAGGAGGAGGAGGAGGAGGAGGAGCAGGAGGGGGAGGAGGAGGAGGAGGAGGAGGAGGAGGAGGAGGAGCAGGAGCAGGAGGAGGAGCCGAGCTGTGAACCGAAACCCACGGGGCCTCGCCTTGTGAGGGATGGGCTCAGGCGTGGACGCAGGGGCCCCCAAGCGCCCATGCATCGCGGACGTACGGCGGCTTCCTGCGGCGCTGGAGCGCCGGCGACGCCGGCCAAGGCGTTCCAGGTTGAGTTCCGCGACGCGGAAGCACCGATCGACACGGCAACGCCGCTGGACTCGACGGAATTCCACCTGGAACGATCGGGGTCGCGCTCGAGTCAGCCTTGAGCCGATCGGCGCGGTGTCCGAAACCTTTGCGCTTCGTGCCGTGGTGGCCTGATCGCCCAGCCCGCCCAGGAACGCTCGGTATCGCTGTCGCGGGCCGATCGCTCTTCCATCGGCGACCTCGAGCGCCGATGGCAGCTCGACGGCTCCCCTCCCGAGCCAGCCCTCCCCTGTCGCTCCAGAGCGCTGCGGTCTGCGGAGCGCTCGGCGGGACCAGCGCCGCGTCGCTCGGGGAGTGCTCGAGGCGCGCTGGCGCTTGGAGATCCCCGGTTGTCCTTCGTCCAGATGCGTGTTCACCTTGCATGCGTCGGGGGCGGAAAAGAGGGGGGTGATGACTAGGGGGGGGGGATATCATGGCGGGGGCCATGATATTTGCCCAGATCTCAGGGCGCCTCTTCTTGTTTCCTTACGTCCCTGGCCCCCCCGCTGGGCCGCGCAAATGCCGCCGGTCATGATTTGCGCCCCCCCTCTTGGACACCCCCTTCTTGGCCGCTCCCGAATGCGCCTTGAGAGGAGGGGGGGGGATAGAGGGAGAGAGGGAGGAGGCAGCGCGGCTTCGGGCAGGCGTCCAGGGTGCACAGCCCTCAATGCGCTGGGGCAGCGCGGGGATCGCACCAGTGAGCGAGCGGAGCGACGAGCGCGGGAAGACATCGGTGGCACGCCAGGGGCCGGCCGTCTTCGCCGTTGTGTTCTCTTGCGTACCCCGCAGACCGCCACTTGATGCGACTTCCCAGCTGCAGCGGAGCGTTGGAATCACCAACGTCATCGTCATCATCATCATCATCATCATCATCATCATCATCATCATCATCATCATCATCATCATCATCATCATCATCATCTTCATCATCATCATCATCATCAGCAGCAGCAGCATCATCATCATCAGCATCAGCCGCGTCATCATCATCATCATCATCATCATCAGCAGCATCGTCAGCATCACCATCATCATCAGCATCATCATCGTCATAATCACCATCATCAGCAGCAGCATCATCATCATCACCATCATCATCATCATCGTCATCATCATCATCATCAGCATCATCATCATCGTGATCAGCATCCTCGTACCCACTTTCAAGCGTCCAACCAGGTCTTGCCAAGCTCCAGCGTGAACAGTATGCTGTGGTCGCTTGCGCAATCGCAAGAGTCGCTTGCCCAGTGTTGGGATACAACCTGGGACTCCTCCTGATGGGGCACACTCGCCCTACTCTATTTCCAAGGGCGCCCTCGAGGACGCGAAGTTATTCGCGCTTCGCGATTAGGCTCCGATTCCTCCTCTGCCTCCCCTTCTCCCCTGGGAGGCGGCGCGAGAGTGGGAAGTTATTCGCACGTCGCGCTTCGCGCAGCGCGAAGCGCGAAGCTAGGAGGCCTTGATTTCTTCCTTCTGCCTTCCCCTCCCCCCTCAACCTTGCGCTCCCCAGTCTCTCGCTTTGAGTCCCCTCTCTCCTGCATTCCCGAGCCGTTTCGGCTGAAGCCTGTTGGCCTGGCAAGTTCAATCGAATTCGTATGTAGTTTTTTTGGTTAACAGGTAGTTTTGGCCACATCGGACTGCTGCTCGCAATGGCGACTTCTTGGAACGTGGAGCTCGCAAGAGCAGCGGAGGCTCGCATCAACTATTATGTGTCAATAGGGTCTTCTAAAGAGTTCATGTGGCGCAAGGCCCATACTGCTATCTTGGCAGTTGAGAAAGAAATAAGGCGTATGCCCTCTGGTCTGATCGTGAACATGCCGCGCCTTGGCGAGGTGACGACACGGCAAGAACTTGAAGCAATCATAAGAGGAGAGAACGATGTGATTCCAGAAGAGATGATTGGCGTTGGAGCTGCCGTGCGGGATTTTGATCGCCATCCTTATCTACAGCGGATGCAGTACAGAGGGGGCGGGTACGCGATTCTGATGGCGCTGAAACACAAGGGTGGCTTCATGCTCAAAGCCGAGTTGATCCGAGAAGCTCAGCACTTTTGTGATGTCAGCATGGCCAACACAGGTAACTGGGGGCAGTCGTCCTCTTGCGGCTGGGCCTCCCACAGGTCGCTGCTTCAACACCGGCTCATGGTGGCGTCTCGCATGCCTGGCAGGGGCAGTGGCCGCGAGGAGTATAGCCTTACAGAGGACGGAAGGCGGTTTCTGGAGGCTATGCAGCGCAAGTGGCCCAACCACGGCGACCCACCACAGGAGAGCTCTTCCCAACCCAGCACGGCTGTAGAGGCAGGCCACGCCATGGATCCGCCAGATCGCTCTCGCAGCCCCCGCGGTGCCATCTTGCGGCGCTTGCGGTCTTCCCCGTCATCTCCAGGCTCGGCAACTGCTGCCACCCCGCAGCGGCGCCCGCGCTGGCGTGGCATCGCGCCGCCGCTGGCAGAATGCGGGACCCCGCGCTCGGCCAGATCTGCTGGTCCGCGGGCCGGGCGGATGGCGGAGATCGCAAAGACGCCCTCCCCGCTGGTCGCCATTTTCAAGCGGCAGCTCGCTGCGGCGGCGTCCGCAGAAAAGTCACCGGCCAGGAAAGTGTCTATAGAGGTCTCCAGCGACGAAGAGGGCATGAGTAACGAGGGCGCCGAGGGCCCGCAGGCGTCGCTGTCGCTGGAGCAGGGCGCTGCTTCTGTTGCTCCTGCGGCAGCGATGGCAGACATCGACCTACACACTGAGGGCGAGGGGGCAGTGCGCTTGCTTGTGGATCAGCGAGAGCGCCTGAAGGATTCTGATCTCGAAGAAGAACAAACGGCATAACCAGAAATCTGTGGCGCTCCGCGCGGATTTCTTGGATCGGCGCATGGGGCGCTCTGGGCGGCGCCTCCGGCGCCGCCGCTGGCGCGCTCCGCGCGCCAGGGAGGGGCGTCCAGCGCAGATCCAAGAAATCCGCGCGGAGCGCCAAAAGTTTATGCTTCATGCCGTTTTTCTGCTTCTGTGATCCGCGGGGCATCCTGAACCAGGCCGCGGCGGCTGTCCAGGGGCCCGGCCTGGGAGTGGTGCAGCACCGCCTGCCCCTCGGCGACTTCCTGTGGGCCGCGGGCCCCGACAGCCTGCCGCGCGGCGCCTGGCGGGTGCTGGGCTGCGTCCTCGAGAGAAAGCGCGTGGCCGACCTGGTCGGCAGGTCCGCCTCAGGAGTGCACCTCCGGCAGCTGCGGCGGCTGGAGCTCTCCGGCCTGCGTGGCGCATTCCTCCTGATCGAGGGGGACCAGAAGCATGCCAGCTCGTGCCCCCTGTATGACGCCTGCGAGGACACGGTCGCGGGCGGCGCGGGCTCCAGCGGCGCCGCGTGCGCCATCGAGAGCCAGGAGGACATCGAGGCGCTGTGCGCCCGCTTGTTCGTGGCGCGCTCGCGGGTGGGAGTGATAGCCACCAGGGACATCGAGGGCACCGTGAGGCTCCTGAAGAACCTGACCTGCTGGCTGCAGCGGAGCTCCTCGCCGCCCGCGGGAGCTGCCGCGGACGCCGCCGGCGCGGCGTCGCCTCCAGGCCTGACCCTGCAGGCGTTCGAGGCCGCGTCGCGGGAGCACGCGCTGGCCGTGGCCAAGGCGGGCGTCGGCGGCGCGCCGGGCCTCGGCCCCCGGGAGGAGCGCCCGCAGCCGGCGCAGCGCAGGGTGCGGCTGGCCGCCAGCCCGCCCCTCTTCGCGCGCCTCGTGCGCGGCTCGGCGGGCGCTCCCTCGCCCGACTGGGTGGCGGTCGAGCGGGCCGTGGGCGCGGCGTGGGCCAGGACTTTGAGTCGGGCACGCCCCTCTGCGGGAGGAATCTTCACGAACAGCAGCAAGCATGGAGTCCAGGGGCGATGTCCATCCCTCGTGCTGCCTTGACTACATGCTTGAGTGTGTGTGTGTGTGTGTGCTCTGGCCATGTCTTCCACTCTTCTCTGCCAAGATCCGCCTCCAGGCGGACGTGCCCGACACCTACAGCCAAGACGCTGAACTAAGGGCCGCTCCTTAGAGCCATATCGTGGCACTTGCTTGCCGCCCAGGCCCGCCGTGGGCAGCAAAGCTTCTTCCTTAATATTCAGCGTTCCGCATGGTAGCACGACGACTGTAAGCCAGGACCGGAGTGGCCTCCTGGTGCGAGCTCTCGCTGCGCGACGCGGCGTGCGCGGGCGGCGCGGCCGCCCGGGCGCTGGTGGGCGTCGCCGCGGGCGCGCAGCTGCTCGGCGACGTCGTGGCGGCGGCGGCCGCGCTGCCTGCCGGGGCGCCGCAGGCCGAGGCGTCGGCCGGGCGGGCACCGCGCCACCCCGCCTCCGGGGAGGCGTACAGGCAGGGCGCTGAGGAAGGAACCCTTTTCGTTGGGGAGGGGCTCGGTGTCCCTTGGCTGTTGTGACGGCTTGCCTCAAGTTTTCCTGAGGCTTTCCATGGGTAGCCGAAGTTTGCCTATGGAAGAAAGGGGCCTCGTTCCTTATTTGGGGTTTCTTAGGTCAACGCCTCGACTGTGCGGCTCTAGGCTTAAGTCGGGCGTGTCCCTCTACAGGGGAAATCTGCAGAAATAGTCAAACAATAGTCCGGGGGCGATTTTCTGTAATTATTGTTCGACCATTTTGGTACATTTTTGTTGGGCATTGTTTGAACTGTTTCTTCTAAATTTGCATGTAGGGGGACATGCCCGACCTATTTCTGGGCATCCCAGATGGGGTCCGAGCAGATGGGGTCGGAGGATCGCGCCGCATCGCCGATGCGTCGGCGATGCGACTCGATGCGGAGCCGAGTTCCTCCACGCCGGCGGCACCGATGAACCGCCGACGTCGCCGGTGCATCGCCAGTGCATCGCCGATGCATCGGCGACGCATCGCCGATGCATCGGGGATGCGGCGTGATCCTCCGACCCCATCTACTCCGACCCCATCAAGGAAGCCTCTAAAGGCTCGGGCTCCGAGGACTCGGGTTGGCCTGACGGGGCCGTCAGAAAAATGACGAGCCCGGGTCTGCAATTCGACGCGCGTTCCCACTGCAAGCATCCTACGGAGGCTGGACCATCAAAATCCAGGACGGGATCCTCCAAAGGCGTCGGCAAGCCCGAGTTCCGGCGAACGCGAGTCTTACGTGTCCCCGACTCATGTCAGGGGCACCTCGCGAAAAGTTGATGGGGGCCTGGCCGATCTTGCGCCACGCGCATCCTCGACCAGAAATCCCCCGAGGTCTCATACATCCGGTGATTGTTTGACAACGCGGTTCCTTAGATGTCTGGACCTTTTTCCCAGGGACCGGCTTTTCATCTTAAGTTGTTTCATTACGCTATTGGGGCCCAATACGGGGCCCCGAAGGCCGAAACCGGCCAAGAAGTGTTTGTTTGTTTGCACGACTCGCCAGGTGTTTCGGGTTGCCCCTATAGACGAGGTGCCGCGGTCCACGCTTGTATAAAGAGGTGGCTGATGCGGCCGCCGTGGCGTTCGCCGCCAAGCTGCCGAGGTGCGACCACTCGCACCGCATGCTGATATTCGAGGGCTTGCGAGCTGACGTGCTGGCGCAGGTGCCCTGATTTCCTCGCAACGTCAGACAAATCAGACGGCGTCTTGGGAGGAAGTCGAAGGCACGTGGGGGTTACGATCCCCCCCTTCAAAAGTCCAAGAACGTGCGGGAGTTTCGAACCGTCCCCTGCTCGAAAGTAAAATCGGGGTGGGGAAGGGCTTCGAAGCCTTTCCCTCGAATGTCGGGGGACCCCCCCCGCGCCAGCAAACGTCGACGACGACGACGATGACGACGACGACGAAGACGTGTTCCGATCGATCGGCCGACCGACTCGCCCAGGACGACACCGAGAACGGACGACGAAGATGTGTTCCGATCGATCGGCCGACCGATTTGCCCACGACGGCACCGAGAACGACGACGACCATCTTGCGAGCATCAGGTCTAACAAGCTGCCTCGTTGTCCGTTAAGGTGTATGAACAAGCCCCCCTACTTCGGGGGCTCCTCCTCAAACCAGCTCCTGGGAGAAGCATCCAGCAGTGCCCTGGAGGGGAAAAACATAGACACAATTAAGCGTCGACCCCCAGGGAAATGCGGGAAAATATGGGAAGTGGTGTCCTGACGCTTTCGGGGGCCTCCCGGGCGTCTCCGAGGGTAAGTTGTGAGGAAGCACCGGGCGGGAACCGTTGTCGTCGTGACTGGGCTGTCACTGCCTTGAACAGATTTGGGGGAACCAGCAATGACATAAACATGATAGCTCGGAGGTCCGCACGGAGTTCTCGGATCGGCGCTGGGGCCCCCGTGGCGGCGCCTCCGGCGCCGCCCCTGGCGCGCTCTGCGCGCCAGGGAGGGGGGTCCAGCGCGGATCCGAGAAATCCGCGCGGACTTCCGAGTTTTTATGCTTATGTCATTGTTCGTTCCTTACATATGGCGCGGAAGTGTCCGGCGAGAGCACCATCCTTGAGTGCGGCAATGAAGATGACTAGGGAGCACGCGTGCAAGCTACGAGGAGAATCGAGCTGGCACGTGTCGCCACTTCTGAGTCAGGGGGACTTTTTTGATCAGGACTTCTCTCAGCATGTTGTGAGGAAGTGTCGAGCGGGAGCCGTTGTCGTTGTAGTTGGGTCTTCGCCAATCTGATTGACATGGGAGGACGTCTCGAGCGAGAGCGCCGCGGGCGCGCATCTGTCCAGGGCGCGTCGAGGTAAGCGGAGGGGAAGCATCGAGCGGGAGCCGTGGTCGTCTCAGTGGATCGGCGCTGGGCCCCCCTGGCGGCGCCTCCAGTCTCTGGCTCGCTCCGCGTGCCAGGGATGGGGTCCGGCGCAGATCCAACAAATCCCCGCGGACCGTCGACAGTGTATGTTCATGTTGTTTTGTGTTCCTCCTAGTCGTTGGGCATTCACCAACCCAAGGGGATTGCAGTCTCGGCGAGGAAGTATCGAGCGGGAGCCGTTGTCGTCGAAGTTGGGCCTTCCCAGCGTGACTAAACTCCGAGACAGTCTCGAGCGGGAGCGTTGTTTCTGATTTGGGGGGCCTCTCCGGCCAGGGCGTCTTCAAGTAGACTGTGATGAAGTACAGACAGGGAGCCGTATCTCGTAGCTGGGGCTTCGACAACCAGGATTTCGGAAGCAAGCCCGCAGTCGAGTCGGAGCGTCGCTTTCAGAGAAGGTGTAGCCGGTGTAGAGGGGAGAGCGCCTAGAACCGCGTCCGTAATCTAACAGTCGCTATTCATTAACAATTGGTACACGACGTGTCTAACCCAGGGGGTTTGAAGTCTCCCCACCCCCAGCGCTGGCAAACGACGACGACGACGACGACGAGGACCCACGACGCCCACCCGACCGACTCGCCCGCGACGTCGTGTCCCTTCTGACCGACCAACTCGTCTTCGACGACGACGACCACAACGACGACCACGGCGATGGCGAGAGTGACGGCGACGACAACAGTGTCGCTTCGTCGTTGTCGTCGTCGTCGTCGACGTCGTCTGCCGCCGGCGAGAGGGGGGAGGAGGGCCCCCTGCGCCGGGAAACGACGACGACGGGGACGACGACGACGTCGACGTGTCCCGCCCGCTCGACCGTCTCGCCCACGACGACGTGTCCCGCCCGGCCGGCCGACCGACGCCCGACCGACCGCCCGAGCTCCCCACGACGACGATGGCGACGGCGGTGGCGACGGCGGCGGCGAAGACGACGTCGTCTGCTGGCGGTGGGAGGGGGGGTCGGCCCCCGTCCCCCATCGACGTTCATGAGAGGGGGTTCGGGTCGAACCCCCAGCCTCCGCACCCAGACTGGAGGGAGGGGGGGGGGGGCGGGGCTCATTTCGCTTCCTCCGATTCAAGTAGATTCGATTCGATTCAATTTCGATGGAGTCCGACTTGATTCGACTTCGGATTCCAGTTTGGCTTTTGATTTGTCCACGGAGGCCTAATTTGCCTGCCGATTTCCGCCGACCCGATTTGTTATGGTCAAGTTGTCGATTTCCGCCGATTGGATCCATTTCGATCGCATATCCGTTGCGATTCGATTCTGGGTTCTCCTGGCCAGATGGAGGAGATTCTGGGCTCTCCTGGCCAGGGGGTACCCAGTTCCAGAAGGGGGGGGGCTTCTGCACCAGCGAAGCGTGCACAGAGGCTGCTCTTGAATAGGAATCACGGCGGAAGGCTTTCAAAACAGTCGTCTGCCTCAGGCTGCCTTTGCCGGGCCCTTGGGCCCTCACAAAAACTCCTCGAGATAACAAGCTGGTCCCCAGAAGGGGGTCGGACCTTTGGGTAGCCACGTTGTGAGAACCTAGGCATGCGACGCCTTGACTTTTTCAGGACGGCGCCCCTGGAAGTCCCGACCCTTCCCCCGGGACCAGTCTTTCGTCCCGAGTCGTTTTTTGACGGTCCTGGGGCCCCGGCGAGGGCCCCCCGGGGCCGAAACTTGGAGGAAAAAAGCTCCCGTCCTGATTTTTTTCACGACGCGAGCACGTCTGGGTTGTGAGGACGTCGCGGCGTCGGTGGTCTGGGTGGTTCGGAGGGCACCAGCTATACACCAACACCGATCCTGGCCCAGGATCACCCTGGGCCCAGGATCGGTGTATATGCCTTCTTGCGCAAGGCAGGAGGGGCGTATACACCGATCCTGGGCCCAGGGTGATCCTGGCCAGGATCGGTGTTAGTGTATAGTCGGTGCCTTCCTAGTGGTGGTGGGGCCGAGACGATGTGCACCGCGCCCGTCCTGGGGCCCCGGCGTCCCCGCATCGGCCCCAGGACGGGGGGGCCGGCCGTGGAGTGCAGCCCTCTCCGGGGAGCACGGGAGGAGGAGGAGGAGGAGGGGCAGGAGGAGGAGGAGGAGGAGGAGGAGGAGGAGGAGGAGGAGGCGGAAGGGCAGGAGGAGGAGGAGGAGGAGGAGGAGGAGGAGGAGGAGGGGAAGAGGAGGGGGCAGGAGGAGGAGGAGGAGATGAGGGTGAGGAGGATGAGGAAGGAGGAGGAGGAGGAGGAGGAGGAGGAGAGGAGGGAGGAGGAGGAGGGGGGGGGGGAGGGGGCATTCTGCCCCTCGCTGGTCTGACCGCCTGCCCAGGGCCGAGGGACCCAGAGGTCCGAGGCTCCAACAAAAGTTTGGGTGGCGGGATTTGGTCAGTTTTTGGCCTCAGGGGGCCCTCACCAGGTCTCGGGAGCGTCAACAAAAACGATTCGGAACGACAAACTAGACCCAGGGAAGTGGTCTGGACCACCGGGGCCCACGCATCGAAAAAATTTGGAGCGGCCTGATGTCTGGGGAGGTGGTACGATAGGTTCGTGACGTGTTGACGCGGCGGCGACCCCAGCAGCGCGGGCGTTCTGGGTCGAACGTTGGAGAAAGCTTCGGGGGGCTGAGGTGGCCCAGCAATGGTTCTGGCCAGCAGGCATGGGGGAGAGAGGGGCCCATCGTCGCCACGGCGGGACGCCGCGGCTCGAAAAACGTGCCAGTTTCGTCCCCAGGAGAGGTCTGGGGACCTGTTTGGGGCGAAATCCCACAAGTCCCGCCATCTTGATCGATGTTGTTGTGGAGGGCGATCAATGGAGAGGAGGCGTGCTGCCAAATAATTTCCCGGCGTATAACAAGTGTTCTACACATGTGTTTAAACATGCTTAAAAGCATGATGTAAACATGTTTAGAACAGTGCTCAAGCATGTTAAACACATGTTTGATTCAATGATCGGATTTTTATGGTGTCCATTGTCGTGGCATCCACAACGATGTTGTTGGGGCCCGCCCAGCGCAGACACCCGAGCTGCTTCCAACTCGAACGCCGCCAGCGGCCCAGAATATTGGCCGACACCGGGCGATCTGCGCAGCCGGAACGCCACGCTCGTTCTCAACGCTGAACAACCCACGCGGTGTCAGAAGCCAGATGGCGTAATCGCGCCGTGAACCCGCCATAGAATCGGGGCGGACGGAACTGGGGAGAGTCAAGCAGTGGCGAAGCGTTCTGGCTCGCCTATAGGCACACCAAGGAGTGTTCTAAGAACCTTTTGAGGCTTGCACGGGCTGCTCTTAGACCATTTCTGGTTGAGTCTGTCTTGTTTTAACACATCGGGTTGATTTTCTAAGAACATTGTTCTTGCTCTTAGAACATTTGTGGGTTCTAAAGACATCTCGTGGTAGGCCTATAGGAATGCCGGGACGGTTGGTCCCTGCCCCAAAGAGGGAAATGGGGGTATGGAATCTGCTGCATGCAGCTGGTTTTGGCTCCACCGCCACACATGTTGCCCGATACATCGGCGCCTCTGGCACCGGGGGCGCCCGGGAAAGCCGGCTGCGCGAGCCGAGCCGATAACCCTCCTCCGCTACCCGCGGTGTCTGCCGCAGGCAACGGGGGGCGGATAGCCCACGCTGGAAGCATTGCATGTATCCAGGGGCTCCGTTCGCACGCCCGCCCCTGGGCTATCCTCCCCGCCGATCTTCCCCCTTTCCCCAGGGCTGGACCTAAACGTTGTTGTTCGTTTTGTTTTCGTTTTGTTTGTCGTTTTGTTCGACCTGTTTTCCTGTACCTCCCTCCCAAAGCGCAAAACAAAACACAGCCGACATCCAGCAAAACAGCGTTTAGGTCCAGCCCTGCCTTTCCCTGACACCCGCCGAACTGATTTTGCCAGTCCACGGCCCCAAGGTTCCCCCGGGGAACGATTTGTTCGTCTCGGAACCGTGTCTGGCTCCTCCTGGGGCTCGCTGGCGGGCCCCAGAGGCCGGAATCGAGGAAGAGCGCCCGCAGTAAACGAAAAGTAGCCCGCGAGGTGGCCAGCCTGGCGAGCGCGCCCCCGGCAGTGGCCCGGTTGGCGCCCGAGCTGCTGGGCGTGGTGGAGCTGGCGGCGCTACTGCTCGACCTGCGCTGCGGCTGGCGCGTCCGGGTGCACGAGGCTTGGCTTGGAGGAGGAAAGGGCACCGATATTGCTACCGTTGCATCGTCCTTGCCTTTCTGGACCTCTTCCGGCAGGCCCTCGTCGCCACGGCTGGATTCGCCTCGAAGTTTTTTGGTCAGGACGCACCGCAGGAGAGGTCTGGAGAGTACATCGCGGTATCGGTGCCTTCCTTTTTCTTCGAGCGCGTTTCCCCACTCGCAAACAGCCCACTTGCAAACGTCCGAATAAGGACATGTTCGCTTCCCCGTGCTGGATCGTAAGTGCCCCGCGGCGGATCCAGGCCATTTGCGAGTAGTTACTTGGCGAGTAGTGGAGCGCGGTTGTCCCCTTTTGGTCGCCCCATAGGCGCGGGCATCGGACTCGACCCTGCGGCTCTCCCGCCGCGAAGAAGCGGGGCCCTGCAGGGAAAGGGGGGGCCCTTCGGGGGCGGCGTCGAGAGCGGGCTAGGCTCACGGGGGGGGGGGGAATACGCATGCCGACCCGAGAAATCAACCGCTCCTCCTCCTGTTCCTCCTCCTCTTCCTCCTCATCCTCCTCCCTCCTCCTCCTAGCCATTTCAGCCCAGATGTGATGCAAGCTGGCTGATCCGTGGCACTCCATAGCAGGCCCGTCCTTCCTCGGCACATGCGCCCGCCGCAGGTAGGTTGGTGGCTGGCCGCCACATTGCAGCTTCCTGTCACGATCGGGACGTACAACCCGTTGGCTGCGAATTCAAGGGACCGGCTTGAGGATATTGCTGCTGCTACTCATAACGTCGACGCTGTGGCCTTGGTAGGCACGAAACAACGGATTACACGCGGCACGACCATTCGGCGAAGGTGTATGGGTACGAGGACCTTGCGCGAGGCTGGGTGGGAGGTGCCGCCGCTCACGAACTCTTCCTGTGGCTGTGCGGTGCTGTGGGGCCGACGCGTTCGACCTGAGCGCGTCATCCGCTGCGAGGCTGCTCCTGCCCTGCTCCAGGGGCGTGGCCTGCACTGCCGAGCTCGCTCTGGCATCTTCGACCTGTCGGTCATTGTGTGCTATCTCCCTCCACGGCCACGAACGTCAGCGGCCTGGGGCAACTACGAGCGCACGGTGAAGCTGCTCATGACGTGGCTCGCCGAGCAGCTTGCGAAGGTGCCGCAACGGAGCACCCCCATCGTCTGCACCGACCTCAACGACGGCGTCGTCCTGAAGTGCGTGGAGGGTCAGTGGATCTTCGACGGCCGCGACGTCGTCCCCGAGTCCCCGGCTACACGTGACCATTGTGCTGGGCCGCTCTTCGCCGAGTTCCTTGCCACCCACGCCATGCGGATTGCGGACATGCATGTCGGCTTCGCCCACACGTTCTTCGGCAACTTGGGCGCGAACAGCTGCATCGACATGGTCGCGTTGCCTGGGGCGCTTGTTCGGGCCCTGCGGACTGCTGGACCTCTTCATCGAGCCAGCCGCAAGCTCCAGCTCATCCGCACAACAGCCACACGATATCATTTACTCGTTCATGCTGTGTTTCCTTACGTACTGGAGCTTGTCTACCGTCCCAACACTCGTGACCCACGCGTGCGCTGGGACATCGACAGGCTCATGAGATGCCTCCGTGGGGGGCTAGGCCGCTCTGCCTTTGTGAACGCAGTGGAGGAGCGTCTTCGTGCCGATGAAGGGCGCGTGGCCGAGCTACTGCGGCGCCGCGCTGCGGACGACAGCTTCGATTACTTCAACACTCTTCTCCGCGACGCGAGCAGAGCACACTTTGGCGCTAATGCTGGCCGCGTTCGCTTCCCGATGGTTGATGAACGGCTTCGGTCACTTGCTCTACGACGCGATCTACGCCTCCTCCTGGCTGAAGTTCCCACAGCGGAGCAGGAGGCGGAGGTGGCGCAGGCTCTCAAGGAGGCCACCAAGGCGAATCGCGCCTACCCTGCCGCGGAGGGTCGGCGCCGGCGCGCCGCGCTCGTGGACGAGGCGCGCGAGCTGTGGCGGCAGAGGCGCGTCGCCGAGTCCCCCCAGCTCTTCGGGCGGGCCGCGGGCTCGCGCTTCGGGCCCAAGAAGCGGGGCTACCTTTCGGTGCGCGGCGTCGTCGACTTGCCCGAGCAGCTGGTTGAGCAGTTCGCGAAGCCAGACCCCGAGGGCGGCATGGCCGCCATCGAGATCGACGATTGGGAGCTGTGGCGCAGTGAGTGCCTCCCTTTTCGCCCGCTGTTGCCGCCGCCGGTCCCTGCGCGCAGGATTGCTGCGGCGGCTGACTAGTCTTGCTTTCGCGAAGGACTCAGGGGGGCGAGCATGGGTCGAGCGGTCCCTGAGTGGGCCGCTCCACTTGAACTATGGTGGCTGATGTGCCATCCGAGCCGTGGAGTCTCTAGGCGCGGCGCGGGCCCTGGCACCTCGACGGCGCGCCTCGAGGCCCCTCTCTTTCGCGAAGCTCTATTTGATAGCTTTGTTCTGATCTGTCGCCCCCTCCCCCCCCACCCACCCACCTCCCAACTCGCTGGCGTCGCAGCAGCGGCGCGCCAATCCCGCGGAAGGGGGGCGAGACCAGGTTGACCCACTTGCTCGACCCCGCGGGGAAGACATGGATGGGCGGGGCGATGGCTCATCGGGGCGGGGGGGCGGCGAGCGATCAGGATCACGGCTTCGTGGCGCGGAGGCGCCACGAAGGAACGCTTTTAGTCCAGAAGATCAGCGAATTTGATTGCCAGAATGCTGGGCGCCAGCATCCAACCAATTGTCGCGATTTCTCAAATGCCTTCGGTTCGAGTGCGCGGCATGGAATGCAAGATGCCGTTGGCAAAATGTCCCCTCCCTTGGCCGTCGCTTCTGGGGGGCAGAGGTGTCGGCTTGCGTCTGTGACTCTGGGCGGGTGGGATCGGGGAGTTACTCTGCGTCCCAGCTGCGGCGGCCTGATGGGCGACGCTTTTGCCGTTCGGTATTTTGTTCACTGCTTCTCTCCTGCTGTCGATGCCTGCCAACGCCGACAGACCCACTGGGGCCCTCATCATGATTTCCCGCGCGCGCGATGCCCCATATCACAGGAGTGGCAGGATCTGGCACTCACCAAGTATGCTGACGATTTAACAACAAAGCTCGCAGGCTCACGCTCTTCATCGGCAGAGAGCCTGGCCGACCTCAGCGCAAGATCAAACGCTGACCTGAATTTTGAACTGGAGCAGCGCGGGCATCGACACAGTCTCGATAAGCAGGACACTCTTGTTAGCATATTTGGCCGATGCGCGGGGCGGGCTCTCGAAGCGCTCTGCACTGGTGAACTTGCGGCCCCAGGAAAGGCGCCCCAGGTCGCGGTCAGTCTTGGGGCTCGCCTCAATTCGATGTGGGGCCGATTTAGTTCCGAATACCGAGCGCGAGTGGTGGCGATGCGCGTAGGGTGGCGCTCTCTCGGCAGCTTCTGGTCTCTTTCAGGTGCCCCCTATCGCGCGCGCAGGCGCGTGCTTCCCGACAATGTCTATCACGCGGCCCTATGAGGGCTCGAAGCCGCCCTGGCTCTTCCAGCCGAAGATGCCGAGCTTACTGCTGCTGTAGCTCAATCTGCCCGAAAAGCCAGGAGGGGCAAAGCTCGCTCGTTCTCTGAATCATCTCACCCTGTTTCTCTCAGCAAAGAAGCGGTCTTGAAGTGTTGGCGCATCGTGCCGATCGAGCTCGAGGCTCGGATTCGTCGCATTAGGTACCTCCAAGAGCTCTTGAGGCACCCCACCTCCCACAAACAGGTTATTGCTGGTCTTTTCGGCTTCCAGACCCCCCCCCCCCCTTCAGGTAGACTTGGCGTGCTAGCGAATCCCCCGGGCCAAGCGAGCTTGGGAGGATCTCGAGGCGATGCCTATGATGGATGAGGGGGCTGCGCTGCTGGCCTCTCTTGGGGGCCAATGCCACCCCCTCCTCTCGGACCCAGAGATAATCGAGGATTCCTTAAAGTTTGAAGTGCGACAGCTACGGAGTCAATTTCCGTCGGAACGAGTGCCCCTTCCTGTGTGGGGTGCTCCTGCTGCCGCCCATGATCTTCCACGCGTCTTTGCTCTGGGCGTTGTGCATCGCTGCTGTTTTCCTGATGCTGGCGGGGCGGTGCGCGGGGCCTCCTCGCCAGATAAGCGTGGAGTTCATGCTCGTATCATCGCTCGACGCGGGCATCGTGAACTGGGGCGCGTTCTTTCAGTGCCTAACGAGCGTTGCTGGTGTCGCACGGCGTTCTCGAGTCGCGTGACGCGTCAACGACATCTAGAGCTTTCGCTCACGAGGGGATTATGTAAAGTTCCCGCCGTCCGTCATCTTTGTTCTGTTGTGCCTCCAGCTCGTCTTGACAGTGATTTTGTCGGTGGCCATTTTGCTCGGCTTCAGCTGCGCCTGCGCGAGCATTTCCTTGGACTTCCTAAAGTGGCGCGCTCGCGGCCTGGGCGCGGCCACGGGCGCCCCGCCCCCCCCGCCCGGGCGATCAACTCCGTCGGTGGCCGTGGCCGGCGGCCAAGAGGACGAGAAGCGGAAGCTGGCCGAGCAGGCCAGAGCAAAAGGTGGAGATGTGCTCCAGAACCTCGCCATCGTGCTCACAAAGTTGAGCCTGTCCAGCGCTGCAGAACTTTGAGACGCATGTGGAGCGGTGTTCGTCGCCTTTCTGGTCGCGGCCGAGCAGGTCGCGGTCGCGGCGGCGAAGCAGGTGGGGGTCCTTTACCACCGGGAGATCCAGAGGAGGAAGGAGGCGGGTGTCGAGACGGAGTAGCTGGGCCTGCCGTTCGCCCGCGCTTGGGCGGCCCTCGTCAAAGCCGCGGGCGCGGACCCCCAGGCGGACATCCACGCGAAGCGGACCCTGGAGAAGTGCTGGGGCGAGGTGGTGCTAAAGGCGCAGGTGATCGAGCTCGCCGACCAGGCGCGCAACTGTCGGGTGCGCACGACGCGCAGGCAAGAGGCGAAGGGAGAGAAGCTTCGCCTGACTTTCGGGGTGGACCATCGCTTCAGCGAGTTGGAGACGGCGCTGATCCCCTACTTCAGCAAATGTTGGCAGCGGAAGTATGGGCCGGCACCTCGCGAGGCCCTGGAGCGGGACGCGTCGAAGATGCTGGAGCAGCTCACGGCATGAGCGGCGAAAGTGGGAGTGATCGTAGATTCGGGGGTGGATTTGCGGATCCAGTTCAGCGAGGTCGAGGTACCGCAACGGCGACCCCCAGCGCAGTTATGAGTGGCATGATTTCGGCGTCTTCGAGTGCCAGTCGTGTGGTGACTGACTCAAGGGATACAGTTCCTCGACCATCGCCCTCGAGTGCCAGTCTTGCGGGCGATGCTGTTCATCGGCTTCCCCTTGCTCCTGCAGTGACCAGCGCGCCCGGAGAGAGGTACATAGTTGCGCCAGCAATTTTTAAAACTTCAGCCCGTTATAAGGCCTGAGTCGAGCGTGGAGAGTTCCTCCCTCTTTCCTCGTCCTCGAGCTCTGCGC